CACACACACACAAACACGCACACACACGCACACACACACACGCACACACAAACACACACACACGCACAAACACATGCACACACACAAACACGCACACACACACGCACACACAAACACACACAAACACACACGCGCACACACACACACTGATTGTGAGTGGGAACAGACTGATTACAAACGGTACAATTATTATGATTATGAAACAAAAGATCTTGACATGTGTTTGTCATGACTGAGGTTGTCGTGGTTACGCTGCGTGGAGGATGAATCGTCGTCTCTGATTGGATGAAAACAAAGAACGAGGTTCAAGTGATCGTTGGCAGAATCTGATGAACGACTCATCAGCACAAGAGGAACATCTGAGGGCCACTCAGGCTCACAGGCATGTCCTGTTCTTCATTAATAAATACATGTGATCATCAGAGTCAAGATAATAACTTTATTAATACAGCAGCTTTAAAAACACCGTTTACAAAGAAAGCTCAACGGTGAGAATAAAAACAATCTATATGATAAGAACAAACTAAGACATAAAATAACATGAAATGAAATGAAATGAAAAGAAAAAGAAAAGAAATGAAATGAAATTAAATTAAATTAAAAGAAAAAGAAATTAAAATAAAATAAAATGAAAAGAAAAAGAAAAAGAAAAAGAAAAAAAAAGAAAAATGAAAAGAAATGAAATGAAATTAAAACAAAGAAAAGAAAAAAAGGATAAAAAATTTAAATTAAAAATAAAATAATAAAATAAAACAAAATAAAATAATTAAAAAAAAACAAAATAAAATAAAATTTAAAAAAATAAAATAAAATAAAATTTAAAAAAATAAAATAAAATAAAATAAAAGGAAATGAAAGAAAAGAAAAGGAAAGAAAAAGAAAAGAAAAAAAGAAAGAAAAAGAAAAAGAATACAATTAAATAAAATTAAATAAAATTAAATAAAGAATGAAAAAATAATGAAAAATGTTAAATATATAATACTAATAAAATACTATATACTTCAAAAATACTATATATTTTGTGGCCAGACCCATATGTCTGAGATCTGAAGAGGAACCAGAGCTTCCAGCTGCCGATCACAGACTCATCACATCAGTCTGGGTTCAGCTGTTCTACACGTGAAGAGGCTGCTCGGGCGGACTGACTTGGAAATACACAGAGAGGCCGGCATGCAGGAGACAATGGTTGCCCGGTGTGAGAGAGCCCCGGCTTTAGGATGCAGTAATTACCATGTGCCTTCTGGCAGAGAAAGAGGCTTTCAATAGATCTCTGCAGCTGGAGACTAAACCGAATGAGGTCTGGAGAAGGGGAGAGTGATTGCTCTCCTCTTTATTTTACCAAAGCAGCAGCTGAGTGAAATAAACAAAACAAAAGTAAGTTGTGGCTGTCGATGACCTCGCAGCTCAGCGTGTTTAGCGTCAGTGCCCTAAGTGTCCACAGACTCATGCATATAAGCACCTTTTCTGGGTATCCAGTTCAGTGTTTCTATTAATGGATTGCCCTAAACCCCACTCTCAGTGAGGACAATCCAAAGTCTATTACGGTGCTAAATCCCTTCAGTTTGAGATGACCAGACGCTGAAAACAACACAATCAGCTCTGCAGCAGTTCAGATCTGAATCACAGGGATGTTTCTACAGATGAGTAGAATATATATATATATATATATATATATATATATACATATGTGATGAAGAGTCAGAGATCATGAGCCATAATGATCATTAGAGCAGCTGGAGTGAGTCGGTGTAATATTGGCTCAGAGGGAACAATGTTGTACAAAGTGTGGTATCTTTAAGTGAGCACATCCATGAGGGGCATTAGGTGCTGAAGCAGGAGCTCAGGGCTAAGCTGGATTAGTGATGCTGCTCCGTACATTGCCAAAGGATTTCTCTTTTCACCTTATGCCTTCAGGTGTTGTGATGGGGGGGGGGGGGGGGGGG